TTTGGGACAGTGAAGAGGATCAACTGAAAGATGACTAGAAACAGGTAAAGATTTCAGGATGGTGATCAATCCCAAAGTGAAAAAATCCAGGGCATTCCTAAATCCAAGTAACAGCCAGGGAGAAGTTTTAAAATTATTTTTAAACATCATTAACAATATCAATAAAATCTTTAAAATATCTAGCACAGTGCCTGGCATATAGTAACTGCAGGAAATATTGCTGAAGGAATGAGTAAAAGGAAACACTCAAAATTGCGAAAGTGTAACAGCTTCCCAATTAAATCTACAAATACACTATACATTTATTCAAAATCCCATGTGGAGCTTTCCTACAGGAGAAGAGATGATAACCGAGGTACAAAATTCTTTTCAATGAAGCTATGCAAATTACTCTTAAAGGAGGATAAATGAAAGGAAATATAGAAAGATCATGGATATGTGTAACAAAGGGGGCCTTAAACAAATAGATATTAAATCTTTACACAAAACTACAGGAGTACAATGCTGGCACTTATCAATGGCTTCCCTGGTGCAACAGAAGAGAAGTTTCAGAAACAGTGTAGTTGTATAAAAATTCAGTGAATGAAATAAGGAATATTTCATATCTTGGGGGGGAAGGGAATTAATAATTTAGCAAATGGGAAAAATTAGATGCCTAGAGTACACAAAATATATTTCAAATATTATAAAAATGTATGTGTTTTAAAAAAAATTAAAAACAGGAGGAAAGTTAAAGAAAATTTAGATAATTAGGCAAAATATTTCTATACCCTCTGGGTGTGAAAGGCCCTTCTAAAGCATTATCTCCTCTTCTACAAGAAAAGGCCATAAATAAAAATACTGATAATTTCAAATAAAATTTAAAAACAAGTATATGTTTTTTTAAAAAGTCATTTGCAAAGTCAAAATCCAAATTAATACAAAAAATGCTTGTACCAAATATGCCAGATCAAAGCTTAATACACTTAAACATATATTTAAAGAACACTTTGAAATTAAGAAATAAGTTAGGTTAAGGATATATATATATGACATATATATAGCAGGCAATTCATAAAGGAAGAAATACAAATATCCAATAGATATACAAAAAGATGTTCAAAGGCATAAGTGATCCAAAAAATCCATATTAAACTATTATATACTTTCACCTGAGTGAGAAGGATTTTGTAAAGATAATCAGAACTGGTATAGAAATGTAATTCTGAGACATTTCCAAAATGCTTAAAATTTTATACAACCTAAATCCAGAAAGCCTACATTGAGGAATTTATTCTAATCTAGGCAATATTTCAGCCACACTGAAAACTCATTTATAATTAGAAATAATCTAACAATCTAACGATCCAAGAAGATGATTCTGGTTAAATGGATCAAGAGATCTAAATGTAAAAAAAGAAACCATACATTTGCTAGAAGAAACCAGGAATAAATTCCTTTATAACCATAAGCAGCAAAAGCTATGAGTTAAAACACAGAGGTGATTAAAAATTGTCAACTTCATTAAAAAAGAAAAATACTTTCATATGACAGGAGATACCAAAGGCAAAGCCAAACAACAAATGATAAAGGAGAGGAAATAATTACAGTATATCACAAAGAGCTAATCTCCCTCATATATGAGGAGCTCTTAAAGATTAAAAAGACAAACAATCCAATAGAAAAATGGGCAAAAGACAAGAAGTTTGTTCACAGAATACATACATATAGGGCTTAAGTAAGTGAAAACATACTTCATTCGATTCATAATATGAAAAATGCAACTTTAAAACTACACTGGAAGGTCAGGGAGTTTAAACTCCCAGTTATAAAATAAATAAGTCATGAAGATGTAATGTACAGCATTGGGAACACAGTCAGTAACACTGTAATAACTTTGTACGGTGACAAATGATAACTAGAATTATCCTGGTGATCATTTTGTGATGTACAAAAGTATCGAACCAGTATGTTGTATACCTGAAACTAATATAATATTGTAAATCAATTACATTTCAGTTAAAAATAAATGAAATGAAACTACATTAAAATATTTTATCTCACTTAACAGGCTGGCAAAAATTCAGAAGAACAACACCACCCTCTACTGGCCAGGCTGTGAAGAAGCACTGCAGGCAGGGTGCCAAAGGTGACAGCCCCTCTGGAGGGGAATTTGGCAATGAGTGGAAGAAAAAAAAAAATCACACGTGTCCTGGTTCTGAGAATTCACCCTTAAAAGAACTTCCACAAATACTATTCAGCCATAAAAAATAATAAAATAATG